AATAGACACAGATGCAGTACAATGCAATCATTTACCGACTACATTTTGCATACACAACGGGCTAAATTTATCAAGCAACAAACAGATCTGTTTGTGACTTGATAAAGCTCACTGTGTAAGGGAAACGTTGTCAATAAAGGATCACATTATACTGCATTTGAGACTATTTTTCCATCATGTCACTATTTTATACCATTTATTTCCATCTATTTACTAGCAGGTAATGGGGCAGTATGTTCCATATGTTCCACCTCATAGTGGAGTTCAACCTTACATCCCCTTAGGTGTACTACATCCATGCACATTTAAATAATCCAACTTTAAAATTTCCCGTCTTTGTCTTTTTAGTTAAGATAGAAGTTACTAGCCCCTTGCATCCAGCATTTTAGACACCTTCTAAAATGTGTGTAGATTATAGAGGAAGCAGTCTAACCTACTTCCTAGTGGAACTGAAAGAATGTACTACATACACAGTAAATTCAAGCACTTGTAGTGTATAATGGATGTCAGTCTAGTATATCAGTTCAATATTTACCAATAAAGAACAAAGAGACACAGTAGTGACTGGAACAATACACAAATAACTCACACATAGAATCTCACGACAATGTTTTGGTCCGACTTGAACCATTTCCACAGTCACACTCCTATGTGCAGGTTATTTGTGTAATATTAAAAAGAGTCAACAGTGAACTTTCTCTTTCAAGATTGTTTTGTCTTTTATCTCAGTTCACTTGCTGATTCTTTCATCACCTTCTGTGCTTATTGGTGTCTTGAGTATATCTCCACAGGTAACTATTCTCCTTTGCAAAACAACCAGCAATCCTGCCAGTATAAAACATTTAACAACTTTCTTTTTTAAACTTTAGGACAGAAGGATAGCAGTGTACCTCCTTGTGTAGTTGCTGTCTGCCAACCTACTTCAAAAGTTATACAGAAAGAAATATTCCAGCATGGTAATGCTGGAGCACTCACTGGTCAGGGTACATAATGGCCATGTTGGTAGCAATTAGGGAGCCCCAGTCTCCTCCCTGCAAGTAGAACTTCTCATAGCCCAGACGTTTCATCAGCTTCAAGAACACCTGGGCCGTCTCAATGTTGCCAAAACCTGCATTAAAAAAAAAATTGTCAAATTTGATTTTGTCAGTTTTAGAAAATTTTTTGCTTAGCAATACAGTACAACTCTAATTTAATGATCCTTAGCAGAACATATATGAAAATGCACAAAATATCAAAGAACATTTTTTTAATCCTTTGGGGGTCGACAGGTCCTCTCAGAGACTTGTTCTCAGGGTAGGCCAAATTTAAAAAAAAAAAAAATATTTTTTCTTATGAAAAGATAGAGAATATTTTCCCGATCATAATGGCACCAAAAGTATGAAATTTGATGGAAAACTTACGGAATTATGCTCTCGCGAAGTTAGCGGTCTCAACGATGTTTACGCATCGGCGATTTTGCCCACTTTGAGCCCTATTTTCGACCAATTCCAGTGTACTAGTCGACAAAAATCATAACCATTTCGCTAGAACTCCATTCTTTCTATCAAATGAGTACAAGAAACCACCCATTTACCGATTTCAACTATCCAATAAAGTGGTCAGAATTTAGCAATTTTGCCAATTTCACAAATTTCAAAAGATGCCAGTTTGCGAATAGGGTCCAGAATAAACAAAAAAGACATTCCTGGCACTAAAATAACAAGTTCTCTGTTCGTTAGTCACATCCCCAGGCCCCTCTTATATTTCTTTGGCTTTCGACTTTGAATTTTTCTTACAAAAAAATGAGATTTACTCTTATGCAGACTACTGCATTAGTGTAGAAATAGTATAAATAATATCAGCACATTTGTGAAAGAATATTAGACTCACCAGTTGATGTGTATTGAACGCTTAGCATGATTTGTTTACTTTTGAACTTCGGTAAAAATCGAACATTTCTGCTTCTTTGAGCTCAATTTCAAGGTACTTTTCATTGTAAAACCAGTCAAAATCATCTCAATTTCTGTAATATGTCTTCCATTCTATAAAATGAGACCAAGAAAACTAGAATACAACAATAAATACCACATGAAAATACAGTGCAAAGTCACTGTTTTAATCCAAAAACACGGTCAAAGTTTTTTTTTCTCATTACACAGTGTGTGCTGCAGGATTTTTTTTATACTGTGCACACTGACCACATAGACCCATTCTTTCATATGTAGGCCTACCAGCTTTCTCTCTCACTAGATTTGAGGGCGCTAGAATTTAGGTGTACTAGTACGTCAAAAACCCTGGGTCGTAAGACGTACTAGTACGTCTGAAACCCCCAAAGGGTTAACATGCTAGCCATCTCCCACTGAGGCAGGGTCACAAAAAAAAAAAAAAAAAAAAAAAAAAAAAAAAAAAAAAAAAAAAAAAAAAAAAAAAAAACACCTTTCACTATCATTCAAAGTATCACTGTCTTTGTAGGTAAAACAGTTTAGATGTCACTCTAAACAGCAAATAACCCGAACTCCTCCTTTAAAGTGCAGGCATTGTACTTCCCACCTCCAGGACTCCATGGGGAAGTGGGGAAAAATCCTTCTTCTGTAAGCCATGCATGATTTAAGAGACGACCAAAATGCTGGAAGGTAGAGGTTAGCAACCCCTTCTCTGGTATAAATTACTAAAGTAAAACGAAACTTTACATTTCTTCTTGTTTTGGATCACCCTCGCTCAGTGGGAGATGGCTACCGAGTTAAAAAAAATAAATAAATATATTGTATCTAAAACTTTACAAGACACTGTGAAAGCATAAAACCAAGTACAATACAGCAATACTGCTTATCAAGGACGATACCATCACATTTCTCAGTTTGTTACTAATAAATATTGCTGACTTATACAATTATAGAAATTTTATATAAGATTTAAAGATTACATTTAGATGCAGCACCTTGTTTGGAGGAGCTCTGAGAGAAGCCGTAGCCAGGGATGGAAGCGCAGATGACATCAAATACAACATTACTGCCTTCCTGTGGGTGGTTAAGGAGAGGCAGTATGTCGTAGAACTCAACAAAGGAGCCTGGCCACCCATGGATCAGCAGCAGTGGCACTGCCTTGACATTTTTGGCACTGCCAATCTTGGAATTTGCACGCATGAAGTGGATGTCTAACCCTTCTATGCGGGTCCTGAAATTTAAGAAAATGTTGTGCAATCAGTGATAAAATGTCGAGTAATATTGAACATATTCATTTTTTCACATACTCTGCTTCAATAATACTGAACATATCAATTATCTGTGAGGGAAAAGTAGGCGTAAGTGGGGTTAAGGTTGTTCAGGCAACCAGGAACCATTAGCAAGTTACGTCGTGCACCCCCCCCCTCTGGAGGGGTGGGGCAAAACTAGTTCTTGGTGTCTGATTTGTTCAAATTTCTACTCCTGGTAATATTGACCTTACCTGGTGTGGGTTAAAGTTTGGAGAGTCACTTCACCTCCACTCTTCTCCTAATCAGGTAGGGTGATCTACCAGGAGTATTACTGTTTGTTCCTTTCTTTTGTTTGCTGGTTACCAGTAATGATTTTGGCATTTATCATTCTCTTCCATTCTTAAATGTTATATTATCATGACCATTGGTAACCAGTTTATTTCTTCATATTACCAGCTCTGTTCCTGGCGTGGTCATCCAGGATAGACGCCAGATAAAGGAGCAAGACATGTGTTAATGAGACTTATTAACATTATTGGACTACTACTGGCCCTTACCTGTTCTACTTGTGGTGCTCCATCCAAGTGGTAGGAGATTCCAAAACATCGGACTACCACCATCCGCCCAGGATAACCTACATCAATAATATCAGAAGATCTATCCAGGGCCATACCTACTCCTGCCCAACTACAAGAACCGAAGGCCATTTTTTTTATTATATTTAAATTTTAAGTAAAATCCTTAAAAATCATTATTCTTATTTTTCCTAGTCGTTTCTTTATTTATTTTTCCATTAGTTTCTTTTGTTCAGATGGAAGGCGTTCCACTGACATATCTTAACATACTGTGCTTCAAGTTAATAAATACTGAATTAAATATTCATCATTTTATTGTAATATCTGAAAACATGTCTCACTTTTATTGTTAGTCTAATATGAAATCCACACTGATTTTATTGCAATTTCCATGCCAGTTTATCTAGGTCAAAAACTCAAGGTTGTCCCAATAGGGTTGCTACATCATAAAATTAATTTATCCTTGGTATTCAACATGGTCATTTGGTGTAGGTATGGTAAGTATTACTTTGTTTAGTGTAATTTTGCCAAGAAATACAAATTTTTATATTAGGCTTGTTGAGAGAGTCCAATTTATTTTTATCTTCCCTTAATTACCCTTGGCCAGTCTTAAAAAATACTATATAGGATTTGAATAAACTCAGTGACATGTTTAGGAAACTAGATAAAACTACAAGATGTCTAAGAAGACAAACCTCTACACTTTATGGACAAGGCTCTGCCCTATACAGTAATTTGGATAGTTAAGTGCCCACTGTATAGTGAAAACCTTAGTTATGTATAAATCATCACCAGTTATTTCCAGCTGCAAGCGATGCTGGAAAATTAAGTTTTTTTTTTTTTTTTTTAACATGTTGGCTATTTCTCACCAAGGCAGGGTGACCCAAAAGAAAAAAAACTTTCATCATTCAACACTTTCACCATCATACATTATCACTGTCTTTGCAGACGTGCTCAGATACGACAGCTTAGAAAAAAATATGTATAATTTGTATATAATTTACTCGATTACCCGCACCCCTCCACTGAAGTCCTTGTAATATTATACAGAGGTACCTCGGGATACAAACTTAATTCGTTCCAGAAGGCTGTTCGAGTGCCGATACTGAACGAATTTGTTCCCATAAGGAATAATGTAAATTATATTAATCCATTTCAGACCCCCAAAAATACACTTACAAAAGCAATTACATAAATACACTTACATAATTGCTCGAGTACTATTATGTTTCCATAAACTATAGTTGCAGTACAGTGAAGTGGAATAACGCATTACCTCAATATATACAGCGCCCTCCATCTATAATTATTTCCTAAGCAAAATATGAGTGATATGGACAGTTTTCCACAATGAGTACTAAGATAAGAGTAACAGTCAACACATACTGTACATTACTGGCTGAGCCTCCCCACTTGGCATGGAAACATAATGCAAGCTCACCATTCACTGAAACAAGTGCTTACACCAAGGTTGTTTTAAAACATGACCCCCTACATAAATAACAAAAAAAGGCATAATACAAGATAGGGCACAATTTCAGGAACACTTCCTATCCAAGTTAGCATACTTATGTATGTACTGCATATGCTGTAATTATACAAATTCTCATGTATATTTTAAATGTCAATGCATACTAAAAGATAATTCTATACAATATATAATTATTGTGTATATAATACTGTCCTACTTGAAATGGGGGTAGGAGTTGAGTCTTGCCTCTCTCTTCCTCCAGTCGTATTTCTCCCTCCAATGCTCCACAATTTCTTGCAAGGTGTCAGAGTTCATACCATATGTGAAATTGGCATCTTCCAGAGCTGGAGTCAGTCTCAGGGGCAGTGCCAGGCGAGCCTTAAAATCTCGCAAGTCCTGTGGTGGAAGCTATATTTACTTAAAGTTGAAACACTTCAGACAATTTGACACATCACAAGACTAGAATATAAACGTTAACTTGATACAATATAACCTAACTTTTCTTAAACTGTGTGTAATCTGGGTTTGTGAATGCTAAGTGTAACCCTAGCCAGTCAATTTATAATGTTTTACATTTTCCCAGGGAATAAACCTTAGATCTGAAAGGTTTGTAAATACCAACAAGGTGCTGCAAATGACACTTAGATGCAGTAGATCCCATTATTAATGACAACATTTTGCTCACACAGGGCATATGTTTATTAACAACCTTTCTGCCAACTGTGTAATTAAAATGTTTTTGTTAATAAAGGTATCCACCATATTTAAGTGTCATTACTCCATAACCTAGATGTCTGCATCCTCCTTTTTCCCAATGGACACTCCCATGCCTAGCCAAACTGTCATATGGTGTTAAACATCCTGTGACTCCTTTGGGTACCAGAGGGGTTGAAGGAGGCAAGAGTCATTCCAGTCTTCAAGAGAAAAGCAGCAAGTCTGATGCCAGCAATTACAGGCCTGTTAGTATACTCAGTGTGATGTTTAAAATTCTAGAGAAAGCAGTGTATTTTCAAGTAGTTAAGTATCTGAATGACAATACCATCCTACACATTTACCTATCAGGTTTCAGATATTATTCAACAAGGTACCTCCTTAATCAAACTGATGAACTACCTGAGAACTCAAATACTGTTAGGGAATCTCACAAGAATGGTGACTCCAGACCTGCAAAAGGCATTCAGTACAGTTTACCATAATATGTGCAAGAAACTACAAGATATTGACATAAACTGATCTACAGAGCCTAAGTCTTACCTAAGCAACAGGAAACAAATTATCAAGGTGAATAATACAGAATCTAATTTTTTTAATTGCACACTTTTAGATTTAACCCCTCTACTAAAAAACAGATTGATATTACCAGTTGCTCAATATATTGTATTATAGAATCCCAAAAACTCTTTCCATTCACAAAAAAAAAAAAAAAAAAAAAAAGCAATTATGATTATTATAGTCACGAGGAAATATTAAACTCATAAAGGTTACACAGTGGCAGGGCAATAGGAGGTAATCAAGTTGGATCCAAGGGGAAAGCAGGGTGAACACGAACATTACTGTACCTCATCAGAAACACTGATGCTAAAACGATTGATGGAGACATCTTCGTCCTGTGGTTCCCCTGGCCCCCACCAAGGGTCAGGTTCAAGGTGGGGAAGTGGAGGCTCCTTCATCATGTACTTCACCTTGTATGACACTACCACCACCATCAACCCCACCACCATCAACCGTGACCATGACATCTGCAAATGAAACTAAGATTTTGATGCCGCTACCTTGGGTCAAGCATAGTTCATGGTTCAGTGATAACACCTTTTGCTCGTAATCAAAGGATCCCAATGGAAATAAGTCACTGACTTTTTTGGGGGTTATCCTAGGTAATCTACAAATATGTTGCTATGTATGATAATTTATGTAACTACATTCATGTGTACTGGTACCTAAATAAACTTACTTAGTTGTGAACTATAGGCATGAAGTGCCACTGTAATAAAGATTACATTCTGAACACTAATACCTTTGTATATGGCTAGTCTAAACAAAAACTTGTATGAACTATTATTTTAGTATATTCACAGAGAATCACTCAACCTGTAGCAATAAGCAACTGGTGTGTGTTGCATCCTGGAGTACACCAGGAAGGTGTTTCAGGGGTCAATACCCATGGCCTGGTCCATGGTAAAATTAAATGAATTTGCCCAAAATGCTTTGCATAACCAGGAGCTTTCTATATAGTATGTCATTGCTGTCAGCTATGGTTTGTATACATTTTATTGTGTACTTGTAGAAATAAAGATTATTATAATTGGGTCATCCTATAATGTACTACACTATATATATAAATGATATTACCCATCTGCCTGGAAGACTATTTTAAAAATAGATATATAGACAGTTTAAATAAAAACTTAATTGTTATTAAATTCATGGGGAAGCGCTAAACTCGTAGTGTTTATACATCATCAAGGTGAATGGAAGGTATTAGATTTGATCCCAGAAAAGGGAGATGGTGTAAGTTCTTGGATGATGAGCTGAGCAGCATTAAGGGGCTTCCCTTGAACTCACTGTAGTCTGGACGACCTTGCTGTTAGTCTTCACCCTTAAGTAAGTTAATTTTGGTACAGGTATATATAAATACAGTTACACAAATTATCATACATAGATGTACATGTATGGTATACAATACAAAAAAAGATGAATTAAACACATGTGCAACATGTAGGTATCTTCATAGTAAACTTTTCACCATCAATGCCTTTATTAATACAAATTCAAGGACATAATTGGAAGACAGTAGAACTATATATAAAAGATGAGGTAATCTGTATTAATAAAGCCACTTGATGGTGGAACGTTTACAATCAATTCTTCATCAATACACATGTGTGTAAATTACCCAGGATAATCCAAAAAAGGGGTCAAAGTGACTTATTTCCATCGGTGTCCTTAGTGTTAAATCACCTCAAAATACATATTGAAGAAAGTAACCATAAAAAAACCAACGGTACCTGAAAACTGGGTCTAAATTATATAATTTTCTGATTTATTTGCAAGATGACACTAAATTTTAAAGATATGTGTTGCTAAGTGTGTCCCCATAATATTCAAGGTCACAAGGTTAACACTACACTTACAATATAACCTCACTTAACAAAGCACCTCAATATAACTGTTAGTGTTATACTAGTACCTGTGATAAGTAGTGAGAGGTAGAGAAGGAAGAAAGACAGGTAGAGATATATAAAGTAGTACATCACACCCACCTTGACTGTCTCAGTACTGACTACAACACTACCTGACTGTCCCTGGATGTCTAACAAGCAGCATCTGGCACTCAACATGCCATAAGGGTGAACTGTGTGTAACATTACCAGTGTAACTCCGACCTTATTGATCTACGCTCAGTTGCCATGACAACCATATTATACTGGTCGAGGCTAATCTGCAAAAACTTTCATAGTCAAAGTCAAAGGGCGATGGTATGATGCTGGCGGCTCATAATCACAGATAACACTCTCCTCCAGTATCTCTTCTGATTACCTGTAATTTTTCCTTTACACAAATCAATTTTATACGCTAAACCCGTTGGGATTATACATTCAAAACTACCATTTATTATAAATTTGTGCACACATACAGAGGTACAAAAAAAAATACAGATAAGAGCAGTATGCCAAAGCCACTTATACTATGCAAAGCATTACGGGCTGGCTTAAAATTAACTTAAGATTAACTAAGCAATGATGAAGTCAGTGATAAAACATTAATGTAAACAGATTACTATAAAGCACAAGTGAGTATTACAAAGACAGGTCATATGAAGGATTCTGTTAGGTAGTGTATTTAAAAAATAATAAAGTTAGATTGGGTTTTAGGTTTAACATTTATGTGATATAATTGTGAGAAACATTTAAGATATACAATTTATAAGGTTCAGTTATTCAGTATTTATTTGGTTTTGGGTGAGTAAGTGATCTTTGAGTAGAGACTTGAATTTATAAACAGGTAGTGTTTCTTTTATATTTACAGGTAATGAATTCCAGATTTTAGGGCCTTTTATGTGCATTGAGTTTTTGCATAGTGTGAGATGAACACGAGGAACATCAAAGAGTGATCTGTGCCTTGTGTTATGGTCATGTGTTCTGTTGAGGTTGGCAAGGAGATGTTTGAGTGGAGGGTTAATATCAGAGTTAAGTGTTCTATGTATGTAATAGGTGCAGTAATAAGTATGGATGTTTTGTATGGTGAGTAGGTTTAGTGTATTGAATATTGGTGGAGTGTGCTGCCTGTAGTGAGAATTTTTTATCATTCTAATGCGTTTTTTGTTGGGTAATTAGTGGTCTAGAGGGGTTAATGTTGTTGAGCCCCAGAAAAAAATTTTTCCTGGGTGGATAGGGAAAAATAAGAAGTGATATGGGGCCCAGGAGGTGATGGGAACTAGTACCGTATTTCGATAGTATGCCTACATCTTGGAAATTTCTTAAAAATTTTGTTGTATAGTGTATGAAATTTGAGTTTTTATCAAGGGATTCCAAAGAATTTTCCCTCTTTTACTTGTGTGGGTGATCCTTTTTCATTAGTTAAGAGGGAACATCTGTAGCTTTTTTACCAAAACGAAGAAGTAGGTTTTGTCAATTTTAGTGTATTTGTTAGTCCTCTCCAGGTAGATTTTTTTCTGAAATTTTCGGATTTACGTATTGGCTAGGTGACGGGGCTCGGGTGAAGAAACTATGTAGTTCATCTGAAAAATAGTGGGGGTTTGAGAAATTGCGAAGTTTTTGGGAAGTCTTTATGTATGGAAAAAAAGAGGGCCAAGCACTTCCCTGGGGGCACCAATGTAATTTGGTTGCGCAGAAGATTTTGCCCCTTTTGCGTACACAATTTGCTTCTGTTGCTGAGGTATGCTTGAGGTAATTGGGGGAGTCATTCGCTGCCTACCACGGTAGTTTGCGGTGTGCTCTCACCCTTCCTGTGTGTGGGCGACCCCTTTTGTCAGTTCCGGTGCAGTGGTGTGAAGTGGTGCTGTCACACCTGGGCAAAAACTTAGGTGCACTGTGCGCAAGTGGCTTAGCAACAAAGGGATAAATACTGGGGCATCGAGCTATTAAAAGGAACGAAACGCCCCAGTTCGGCAAGTCTTATTCCCAAAGATCTAGGGGAGACTTATGGAGTACAAGATTGTGACTTTATGTGTAGCTTAAACGGGGACAACAAATTTTCGTCAAATGCTATCTGAAAAGGGTTTTTATGAATCTTTAAAATCACCAGGTTTCAGGAGTGAGTTTTAACGTCACACCAGCTGCCCCACTGTAAGAATGATAGATGTTTCACGGATTATACGGGGATAAATTTACGCAACGTTCCCTTTGGGGCGGACGGGGCAGATAAAAGGGAAAGTTTTTGAGAAGTATGGGACGGTGTTTATGCTCAACATGGACGGGGGCGGCAGGACCCTAGCGGTTTTTCCCAAGGGGGTTTTTCAACCCCAAAAATGATTTGAGGCACCAAATCCCATCCTATGTTACCTAAAAGATTTCGGGACGCGGTAAGGTAATGCCCCGGACAACAAAGTACTCCCGCCTATGGGGGTGAGTATGTCACATAGGGGCGCCCTTGCAAGCGAAGAATGTGCCTGGACCGTGGTGGGTCGCAGCCCCTGTTTCAAAGGTGGCAGGTGAGGAACAAACATGGGATGGAGGGCTGGGTTTTTGTGGAGCGAGATAGTGGATCGGGCCAACAGGACTGGTGGTGATTGGAGCCCCGCCCCAACTCCCTGATCAGGTGTCGTCTCCTTTGGAAAAGGGAGGAGCAGCAAGTACAAGAGAAGGTTCTGAGATTGGGAGGAATTGGGGGAGGTGTTGAAGACTTGTACCCCCAAAAAGGGGGATGTTACATCTGGCGGGGTGTCATTGGAAAATTTCGCGTTTCCCAAAAGTCTGAGACTGATAATTTGGGACGTGAGGTGGTTTGGATCATCCTTGATCATTACACCATTTCGGTGGAGGTGGAGGTTCATCGAGAGGTAAATCTGTCAAGAATGTTAACATGACTGTCACGAAAAAGAGGGCGGCACACAATTCTGAGCGCCCTTACGCCGCAAAAAGGCCGGGGGAAAAAGACTGAGGTCAAGCGTAAAAGGTAGTGGTGTAGGTGGTGGTAGCCTGATAGGAGGCACCGGAAGAAGGGGGAGGGAAAGGAGCATCGAAGGTGTTGAACGAAATTCAAGCTCTGGAGTTGTAAAGGTGATGAGGGGAAGAGGGGGGGAAACTTAATAGGCCTTGGGTTATGTTGAAAAAGTTAAGGGTTATGTGGGTATAAAGAGATGGTTTCTAATTTTCTGAAAAAACAGAGTGGATTTGTTTTCCGCGGGAGCACAATTCAAAGAGGGTAGGGTGTTGGAGGTGGCGGTTTTCGGGTAGTTACCCTGCCACTCCCCGTCTAAAAGGGGGTGGGGAATTTTTAATAAGGAGACGACCCCTTTTGTTTTGCAAGAAGCGAGGGAGGAGGGGGAGGGGGTTGTTGCGTGTGGGAGGGGTGGTGGAGGGGTAAGCGGTTCTTTTGTGAGTGTGTTGCGCCGGCAGAAAATAACATAAAGGTAAAAAATGTTTTTGGTGTGAGGATCTTGTTTTTTTCTTAAGTGACTGCCAGAGGTGGCGATAGTTGGGGGGGACTGGAATAGTGTAATCAGGGTGGTGATGTGGACCCAAGAGGAGGGATATATGTCTGTGGCCTTAGGGTTTTATTAAGGGAGTTTTTTACGTGAGCCTTTGGGGAGCGGTGTGGGGGACTAAATAACGTTTGTTAGGAGGGGTTTGCTGCGAGACTAGAAGAGGTACCTTTCTCGGGGAGGAACGTGAAATCTTTCAGTACGTTGAGACACAATGCCCGTATAGGGCAGTGGGGGGAGGTTGGGGGGGGGACGCTCGCGGACATATATAGAAGTTTTTGGGAAAATTGGAAATTTTAAAAAGGGCTAAAAGGTCTTTGTGGATTTTGGATTTGAAAAGGCGTTGACAGGTGGATGGGGGGCAATGGGGGAATTTTGCAAGTGTTGGTGTAGGAGGTGGGTTATGAAAGCATAAAGGGTTTTTTACGGGGAAGGGGGCTCAAGTTAGATATGGGGAAAGAGGGAAAATTTTCCCCCCAGAAAAAAAGTGGGCCCTTAGACAAGGGATTGTGATGTACCGTGGTTGTTTAATATTTTAGTGGGGTTGGGGGAAAAGTAAATGCGGGGGTCTTGGCAAGGGGCTAGAGTTTTAAAAAATAAAAAATCAACACAAAGGGGGAGTTGTCACAGTGCTCTTTGCTGAGACCTGTGCCTTGGGAGATTTAAAGGAAGTTGCAGAGTTGGTGGATAAATTTTTGGTGGGTTGCAAAAGAAAAAAATTAAAGGTGAATACAGGAAAGGAAAGGTTATGAGGATAAAAAAGATTAGGTGTGAAAAGATTAATATTCAGTTTGGGAGGGGAGAGTAGGGGGAGGTGAACGTATTAGATTTTGGGAGTGGACGTGTCAGGGGATGGTCTATGAAAGATGAGGGAATCATAGAAGATAGGGAAAAAGAGGGGATGGTGCATTTAGGATCGTGGAGACAAAAAATTTTGTCCTTGGAGGCAAAGGGGGGAATGTAGAGAGTATTTTTTTTAAACGCTTTTATAGGGTGTGAACGGGGGGATGAATGTTGCAGCGGGGAAAAGGCTGGAGGCAGTGGAGATGTCAGTCTGGGGGCAATTTTGGGGGGTTAATATAAGAGAGAATTCGTATTTTGGAAAAGTTAGGAGGAGGTGCGGGTTTACCAAAACTGTTGCCCCAAGGGCTGAGGAAGGGTTGTTGAGGGGGTTTCCCCGGACATGTAGGAGAAGGGAGCGAAACAAATGATTAAGAGGTACAGTCTGTAGGGGAAGGAAGGGGGGGTAGGGTCGGCCTGGGAAAGGGGTTGGAGGAGGGGGTAAAAAGGTTTTGTGTGCGAGGGTTTGGACTTCCAGCAGCAGCGTGAGCGTGTTTGAAGGAGTGAATGGAGACAAAGGGTTTTTAATACTTACTGCTGTTGGAGTGTGGCAAAAACATTTTGAAGGATTCAGGGAAACCGGCAGGGGGACTTGATCCCGGAGTGGGAAGTACAGGGCCCGCACTCTGAAGGAGGGGTGTTAATGTTTTCAGTTAAAAACTGTATGTAAAGCACCCCTTTTGGCAAACAGTGTGGAGTGAATGATGGTGAAAATTTTTTTTTTCGGGGCCCCCCTGCCTTGGGGGGAATCGGCCCGGGTTTGGGGTAATAAAAAAAAAAAAAAAAATAAAATTGGAAAATTTAAATTTAAATGTTTAGGAGATGAGGGGGGGTTGGAGGGTTTTCAGTCCTATGGAGGGCTTAGTGTGGAAAAAACAGGGAG